TTTTTTTTTTTTTTTTTTTAAACTGAACCCTTTACAAAGCACTGATATCTTTGTATGTAACGTGTAGTTTTCCAAGCTCAGCTATCCAGAGGTAAATGTTGCTAATGCTCCCTGCCAAAGCCAAGGAGACAGCCTGCTGCACGCCAAATTACTTTGGACTGCTGCGAGCTGTGACATCACTGTGTTAAAGTTTGGTTTCAGCCAGCCCTCCCCTCTACTGTTTGCGATCAGGGGGAGGCCCTCAGTGTGTCTATTGCTGGTGGATCCCTCGTACTTGTGGGAGGGGGAAAAGGGCTTATCCAACCAGAACTTGTCTACAGTACTTGCTGCATGCCTGGTGATTTTTTTTCTTCCAGGATGTAAATCCACCACAAAGGAACTGAAGTTCAAATAAGGGTGCTTTAGTCTTGCATGAAACGATGGATTCAAAACTTGAAAACTGAAATGCTGGAGTTTCCTTTCATCAACCACTGCAGCCCATTGTACCTCTCTGCCTATAGCATGGGGATGTATGGCTTCCATTTAGCAGCTGAGCTGTGTCTTCTTCTATAAAGAAACTTGAATCAATGAGGAAAGCAGGACTCTCTTACAACATCTAGGTATTTACTTTTCCAATTACAGTATTACATGTATAAATCTCCCAAGCAGCAAAGTCTAGGTTGCAGTCACAGAAGAGACGTACTTTTGATACAGCCAGCTAAATGAAATGTCGGGATTCCTGTGGATGAGCTGTTCAGTAAACCTTTGATGAAAAGCACATTACTGACTGAAGAAAGAAGCCAAAGGAAACGGTAAGAATGTTGCCATAATACAGCTGGTTCACATTTAAGATATACAGATGTTTTCACATTGATTACATTGTTACCAGCAGACAGAGTGACTGATTTAAAAAGCCAGGCTTTCATTTACTGCTTTGCTTTGTTATGAAAGTTATTACAATCTTTGTAATATAAGTTTAATCAGGAAATGCATAATGTCTATTAAATGAGCAAACATACGCGACTGGTAGAAAGGTGGCCGTGTATAATACCATGTGGGCTGTAGCCACTGATTTTTCTTATGTTTACTTCAAATATAAAAAATGGATATTCGGTAAAACTATTTTTGATACATTTTATAGAGTCAGACAATCCAGGACCTCTTGCTTAGCAATTAACTCTGAGAACATGAAGCTAACTTTATTCTCCTTTATTCTGTATTACTTTGTCTTCTTCTGAAAGTGACAATATATATGTAAAAGAACTGTATGCTTTCCAGCAATTTTTTGACAATAATTCTGTCATTTATGCCTGCTTTTTGAAAAAAAGCTGCTGTATTAAAGTCAGGAATCATGTATTCACTCTCTCCTATATTTAAGTCAGATAAAACAGATAAAAATGTTTCGGAAAGTAACAACAGATTCTATAAAACATCCTGCTTAACCAAGCCTTCACTTCAAAAACATAAAGTAGCATTTGTATGTACTTTCTTGTAAGTGTAATATATACCACCTTTATCAATTAAATACAAATATTTTTACAAGGAAAATAAAAGTCAAAATTATTCTGATCTAAACTCTCTGGCAGGTCTTTATCGCATACTAGTAACAGGCTGAAAGACAGAGAGCTAGCTTGTTATATGCTTTTCAGCAGAGATTGGATTATGTGGAAAATAAGGTGAGGCCAGTGTTAAGGGAAGTAAGAGCAAATGCAGTGCTGTCTTTCAGTAGCTACACTCCCAATCTGTGACAGGTCACTTCAATGAGGCGCAAAGAACAACCTATTAAATGATGCTGCCTCCTAAATTTCTTAGTGATCCACAAAAGAAAAGCATTTTTTGCACTTAAATGAGCTGTTTTCTTGTTGGATGATAGAAGGCACAGGACATGTAATCCTTTGAAGTTTCTTGAAACAATTCCTACTATTTCAAAACAAGAGTTCTTCAAGAACTAATTAAAAACTCTCACTGCAGCACTTCATTAGTCATCCATTCCCCCAGCAAAAACACTGATATTTTAAGAATGAAATAGTGTTTTTGGAGTTACCAGCAACTTGAGCTAAGCAGAAAAAGCTGAACTTAAAATGTATTACAACATATTTATCTGAAGTAGTTCATTTCAGCCAAAAGCTTAGCATGCCTTACATGGGAATTTAATAATTAATGGCACAAAACATGAAGCAGTTCTCCCCAGCAATGTGTAAGTTTGGTGTTTGCAGTTTTTCCAGTTTGTCAATACATCATCTTTTCTGTAATTAAACTGTACTCTACAAATTTCAGAATTTTTGTTCTGTGTGAACTTTTTTCCATTTTCTTTAAAGAAAAACTGAAATAAGCTAACATGCTCTGTAGTTAAAAAACCCTAATATTCCAGAAAGATGATTTGTTTGATACGTAGGAATACCCTTCCCCTAGAAAAGAAGAAAAGAAAAGAAAAGAAAAAGAAAAAGAAAAAGTTCACTCGATCAGAAGTCCAAATCAATTAATCTTTCTACTCTTGGAAAGCACAGACAAAAATATCACACTAGCTGTGACACAGCTAAAGGACAATGAGATTTTGCTATCATAGCTTCACACCATTATACAAAAGAATTACTGGAAAAGGGGGACGTAATGTTTAGGAATCTGGACAACTTTGAGAAAAATACAGAAACTGTGTTGTGAAATACAGATCTAATTTTTTTACCTGGTATTTGGAAAGGGCAAATGATCACAAGGATTTCTGTAGTCACTGACTACCAAATTTTGCAGAAACAGGAATTAAGATGATTCTTCTTAAATAAATATGAGTTGGCACCCTAGTTCTATTAGCTTTTACAATCCAATTAATGGGTAAAATGTCTGCTTACTGCAATCTAAAATAATGCCACCTCAGTCTGATAGATGGGAAAAGCTTAGAAGATTTTACAAAAACATCCATTGCAGCTTTGCTGCCTCTTCTCCAGAAAGGCCCAGGTAAAAAAGCTGTTATCACAGTCTAGCATGTGAACACACGGTCATCTATACGGGCTTATTTTTTACAGGCATATATACCATCTGATCTAACATTAAGCCTTTCATGAATTTGCCTTCATTTGTGTGTGTGTACATGATTGTGAGAGCTTCACAAAGAGCTGCACAATGTGCTGTTCAGCTCAGGAGCCTTCCCACCCAAACCTAAGAATGTATCACTAACTTCACTGCAGTAAGAGCAGCCTATGGAAAGTGACTGGTTCACCTGCTGACTAAACCTTAGTCATTCAGTGATTTGGTAATCTGCTGCAAAATTAATCCCTTGGCATCTACACAGCTCAGGATGCTGGTTTTTTCCCCTCTTTTGAAACAAATATTTTAAGAGAGGCATTACCAGAACATTATGTACTCTTCAGTAAGTGGTCATCTCCTCCTGCTTGTCACCTTATCTTTAGATGTTATCATCTATCTGGAATATTTCTGGAGTGCCAAGTTAGTAATTAAGTTATGTGCATTCAACTTAAAAGCCTTGCATCTAAGGATGGACTCTAGACTGAAAACCTTTTTGAAACAGCAAAGGGTGAGAATAAGCTGGGAGCACTTGATCGTATGTTACCAGAAAGATGAGCATATTGCAGTTATATAAATAAAACCACATTATAGGGATGAAGACAGAGAAATGGGCAATAATAAAAAGTAACAGTTTGGGACAGGATCTTCCCAATGCAATTATAGTCCAGGTATTGTGTTTTGCTTGAAAAAATAGAAAATTATCTCCCTTGAATGCTCCAACCATGCAAACTGGGAATCCTATTTTGTTCTACCCGGCTGCTCACTCAAGAGGTCCTGCTCAAGTGCAAACACTCACTTAAAGATCATCTCTTTTTTTAAGATTTATCAGAACTCCAGCATAAAAAGCTGCCTCCTCAACTCATAACCCAACTTCCAAATTCTTTTTAACACTTAGTGAGATGAAATGCTGGTTCCTTCATTCCTGAACTGGAAATTTATTCTCAGCTCCTGGCATTAAGCTGTTAATGTCAAGCAGATTTACTTAGCCAGGCTCTCTGATGTACAGTTATTGTACTGCAATCTGTAACGTCACCAAAAGTTACTGGAAATCCCCTTGTGTAGTATCTCGACTTAAAGAAGGAAAATCGCTGTCCCTGTAAAAGCAGCCCCCCTGGGGTGGATACAGCATGATATATCACTCACACAAAAGCAGCATTTATGCAGCCCAGTGCATGAGGCTTTCATACCAACTTGTCTCTGGTTTCATAACCATACACTGCATGTTAAAAAAAAAAAAAAAAAAGAGCAGCAGAAAATAAGTCAGCTACCCCTACCTACTGGCACATTTTAGGCTCACTGCCTACAGCAGTACCCCTATGAAAGTGAAGATGGATTGGTCTCCCTTGGTATGAAACCTGTGGCTGATTCATTACACACAGTATTGCCTCAGTTGAAGTTTTCTAGACAATAGTTATACCAACTCATTATTTTCCTTTTGCATTGCTCTGAAGGCTCACAGCAGACAGTAATTAATTTAAATCTTAAAATGTTTTCCCACTTGTATGATTGAAAATGATTTGTGACTCTTATCCTATTAAATAGTATAACAGAACTCAGTGATAGCCACAATCCATCCTTCCTGTGGTCTCTGCTGTTTTCTAAAGACACTGAAATTTAAACTGTGGTGGGAAGACCAGAGTTAGACTCCATAAAAATGTTTCATGAAATCCTATTCCCTCATTGTCTCAAAGTTTAGATGGCACAAAAATCTTTTAGTATTAGATATGTTCCATCTACAGTAACAATAATAAAATCTGAAAACTTTTGTTTTTCTTCTTGGAAGTGCATTACAAATATTAACTGATTAATTAATGCCACTAACTATTTGATCTATATGCTGCACTCCACTGTACTGTGGGGTTATAAATATGGTAGCTTTCACAGAATCTTGATGCCTTAGAGAGCACATACAGTGAGGAAAAAGAAAAAAGGAAAAAAATCTGTGAAGTAATTCAATATGATCACTTGTATGTATATTTTGTAAAAATGAGAAATTTAATTCTGAGGGGCATTATCATAACCACCTGCTATACAAAGGAACAGTTTCAGTATAAGATATGCCTTATTCCTATAAGTAATGTCTAAGAAAACACCCCAGAGAATGTCAACTTTAACACATCTTTTTAGGATAAACTGAGCAACAAAACATGGAACGTTTGTAAGTTGGGACACAGGTATGCATGAAACTTTGCTTAGAAAAATATTACAACCTCATTACCATAAGGTTATGACAAAATACATGCGGTGAAATACCTACTTAGTTTCAGATGGTAAAATAGTCAAGTCTTGTGGAATCTCCTTTGTGTGTTTTAAAATATTCAGAGTAATCAAAGCAATATATTTTGACTGAGCTAGAAAGGTCCTACAGAAATGCCCTACAGTACAAACAGCACAATATGGAAAAATAATTCCCGAAGTTTTTTTTTTCTTCTTTACATGCAACTAGTAAGTTCAAAGAAAATACTTTCTATTTGCTTTTCCTTTTCAGGGACAGGGAGAAAAAAAAACTGAAAAACATATAGTATCTTTTTCTGGAAGTTTGTTTTTTCATCATTCATCAGATGAAATGAACACTCTTCAATTGTTTCCCCTGAGGTGCAATTAGCTTAACAAACAATGAAGGAACAAACATAAACCAATTCATTATTAACTACTGCAAACCATCTACAGAGCTACACTAAGGCTTGGTCTACACTTAAAGTTTTGTCTGTATAACTATGGAGGATAGGAGAATACCAACACAGCTTTGCTGGCAAAGGCCTTAACGTAAATAAAATTACACTTTCAAAAA